AGATAGAATTCAGGCACGTGGGAGTTAAATACTTTGATGACAGTCACAAGCAGAAAGGGGCGGACCCAGGATTTGGACAAATGGATCCCAACTGCAAAGCTGACAGCCTTGTCTACTATGCCATTCTAAATGAGTATATTAACAGCATATTAATAGTGGGGTTGCTGTCCTTTGGGGAAATCCAACTTGTAAAGTTCATTCTCAAATCAGGTAGCCAAAAATAAACTCCAGTTTGGAGAATATACATGGAAAATAGAGTAGAACTCTTAACTTCTAGTTATAGAGAGTATATGTCTTTTGATTCAATTTAATAATGAGGTAGATCATCTGGTAGCCATATCACAATGTTGATTTATATTGAGTTCACACATAAATGAAACAACTGACTTTTTTCCATATGGATTACTCATAATTTTTCCTTATGTTATTATAAAATTGAGTAGTTGTACTTTCTTAATCTGTGACAGACTTAAAATATACTCTAATTAAATTGCATGTTCTTCCTTTTAGCTCATTAATAAAATCTGTTGACATTTTTAGAATCCTTATTTTGTCTCTGATAATATTAATTAGTTATTCTTCCAGGGTTTTTGTAATTAGTTTTCAGTGTTTATAAAATCACTTATAAAAGATACTGGCAACAGATTAAAATGTATATATTATTTTTCAATAAAAGAGGTAAATCGGGATCCTATTAACTTAAAACTAGCGTAGTGTCTCTGTATTGATGTTTCGTTAAAAAAATGCTCTTGGCTGGGCGCGGTGGCTCACGCCTGTAATCCCAGCACTCTGGGAGGCCGAGGTAGGAGGATCACTTGAGCTCAGGAGTTAGAGACCAACCTGAGCAAGAGTGAAACCCCATCTCTACTAAAAATAGTAAAAATTAACCGGGTGTGGTGGTGCATGCCTGTAGTCCCAGCTACTTGGGAGGCTGAGGCAAGATGATTGCCTGAGCCCAGGAGTTCGAGGTTTCAGTGAGCTAGGATGATGCCACTGCACTCTAATGACACCACTGAACCGTAGCCTGGGCAACAGAGCAAGACTCTGTCTCAAAAAAAAAAAAAAAAAAGAAGAAAAGAAAATGTTCTAGAATAAGGAGAATTAAAATCTTTTTGTACCATGAATCCATATCTTTGTGTGAAAGAATAGGAAAAATATTTTCCATCTCTGCCTGAAATAAACTGCTCTAATCCCCTATTAGAATGACTGTGCTGCTGGTAAGAGAGCCGATGTGCTTTGAAAAGCCATCATTGTCAGCGATATAGACAAGGTACATAAAAATATTGTACAGTGAAATGCGATTAGCATGCAATTAAAGAACAAAGAGAGATTTCTCACTATAGTTAATGGCAATACATGGAAAAGAATAAGGTCAAAATAGAGCAGACATTTTTTTAAAATGAAAACTTACACTATTTAAGAAAATGTGCAAAGCTGAGATATAGAAACACTGATGAAATGTTCTTAGAATGGGGACCATAAAACTTTTGTATATTTTAAGTGTAGCTGAGATTTTTGATATTAAGAATATTTGTCATCAATGATGTTTTGGAAACATCAGTTGCTTCAAGGATATTGCAATCAAATGATTACCAAACACTCTAACATCACAATTGGGTGTCTCAAGTTTGTTCTGAACTCTGTGAATCTGATTTTTAATAAGTTTGTCCTCCTATATACTGATTCCAAAAACAAATGCATTCTGAAACTCTACATGTGTCTGCCATCATTACTTTGTTTTCAAAGTGTTTTGCAGAAACCACAGACTTTGTCTAAGTTTGAGTTTCTCTCTCTCTGTCTCTCTCTCTCTCTCTCTTTTCTTCTGCCTCCTCCTCTCCTCCTTCTCCTTTCTCTCCCTCTTCCTTACCCTAACATTCCCTGTACCACTTTCTTATTTTATTTCAGGTAATATTAAGGTGGAGCTAAGTAAGTTCTACCTTTGAACTTTGACTCAATGAAAATTGTGGCCCCAGGCACAGGATAACTAGAGTCTTGAGAACTTTCTTTTTATATGAAAGCAAACAATCACATTTTATTCCATTTCCTCTTCATGAAGAAGAAGAATAAAGAAGAAGTTTGAGGGTAAATTAGTATCCTCTCAATTTCAATAAATGGTAAGATGTGAAACTTGTCATTTCCAGGAAAATGCGAATAATATTATTGAAGAAGTTAAAAGAATATGCAGTGTTCTAGGGTGTGTGGAAACCAAACAAATTACAGATGCAGCAAATGAACTAAGTCTAATTCTTCAGAGAAAAGCAGAGGTAAATACATTCATCTATTACACAGTAATTATTTTAAACCTGAGTTCAATAATTACTTAAGGTGTGAAAGACTTTTGACTAACCACTATATTTCTGTGTGTATGTGTGTTTGTGTTTGTGTGTGTGTGTGTGTGTGTGTGTGCAGGCATACACACAGAGTACATTTTAATTATGTGGGGGTAATGGCAGCCTGATTCTATCATGCCAAATGAATTAAATTAAAAGGAAATCTCTTACACCTTTGAAGTTTGTAACTACTGTGTAACTTCCAAGTGAAACTGAAATCAATCCTACGTAGATGAATGTACTTATACAATATTCACATACAAGTGTTTGTATAGGCTGTTAATGGCACTAATGTACACCAGTGTACACAGGTATAAGTTTCATGTGTGGGTGGGTAAGTACATATACCAAAGATCAGTTTTTGTGGTATCTTTTA